CTCAAGTACTGCCAAAAGGTCGGTGGTGCCTTGTTCGGAGTGCCAAGTGCACTCTTGGGGGGTCCGCTCGGTTCGGGGTGTCTGTGTTGCCTGTGAGTGATGACGGGTGCTCGCCGGATTGACTCCCTGGCTCAGTGGGTGGTGGGAACCAACAGCCTGCAAGGTTCAATCGTGATGTGAGTAGGTCATGTGCTGCTTTGCTCTGTGTTGGATGTGTGGATTGCCTTGTCTGCGCTCTGTTGGTGCCTTGCTGCCTGTACCGCTCGCTTCGCATGTGGCTGTTTGCAGGGTGATGTGTTCGCTGAGTAGTGTGGCCGTGTTGTTGAATGTGTGGACTGCGTCTTCTGCGCTCTGCCCGTGCCTTGCTGCCTGACCCACTGGCTTCACATGTGGGTCTTTGCACAGTGATGTGTTCGCTCAGTAGTGTGGCCGTGTCGTTGGACGTGTGGACTGCGTCGTTTGCGCTCCGCCGGTGCTTTGCTGCCTGTCCTGTTGGCTTTGCATATACTTCTTTGAAGGGTGGTGTGTTCGCTGAGTAGCGTGGCTGGGTTGTTGGATGTGTGGACTATGTCGGCTGCCCTTTTCCGGTGCCTTCCTGCCTGTCCCACTGCCTTCGTGTTGTTCGGGTTGCCTGATGACAGGTGCTCGTCGGATTGACTCCCTGGCTCAGTGGGTGGTGGGAACCAACAGCCTGCAAGGTTCAATCGTGATGTAAGTAGGTCATGTGCTGCTTTGCTCTGTGTTGGATGTGTGGATTGCCTTGTCTGAGCTCTGTCGGTGCCTTGCTGCCTATACCGCTGGCTTCGCATGTGGCTGTTTGTAGGGTGATGTGTTCGCTGAGTAGTATGGCCGTGTTGTTGGATGTGCGTCTTCGCTCTGCCCGTGCCTTGCTGCCTGACCCGCTGACTTCACATGTGGGTCTTTGCACGGTGATGTGTTCGCTCAGTACTGTGGCCGTGTTGTTGGACGTGTGGACTGCGTCGTCTGCACTCTGCCGGTGCCTTGCTGCCTGTCCCGCTTGCTTCGCATGTGGTTCTTTGCAGAGTGGTGTGTTCGCTGAGTAGAGTGGCCGGGTTGTTGGATGTGTGGACTGCGTCGTCTGCCCTTTTCTGGTGCCTTCCTGCCCACTACCTTCGTGTTGTTCGGGTTGCCTGATGACGGGTGCTTGTCGGATTGACTCCCTGGCTCAGTGGGTGGTGGGAACCAACAGCCTGCAAGGTTCAATMATGATGTGAGTAGGTCATGTGCTGCTTTGCTCTGTGTTGGATGTGTGGATTGCCTTGTCTGCGCTCTGCCTGTGCCTTGCTGCCTGTACCGCTGGCTTCGCATGTGGCTGTTTGCAGGGTGATGTGTTCGCTGAGTAGTGTGGCCGTGTTGTTGGATGTGCGTCTGCGCTCTGCCTGTGCCTTGCTGCCTGACCCGCTGGCTTCACATGTGGGTCTTTGCACGGTGATGTGTTCACTCAGTAGTGTGGCCGTGTCATCTGCGTTCCACCGGTGCCTTGCTGCCTGTCCCGCTGGCTTCACATGGGGTTCTTCGCAGGGTGGTGTGTTCGCTGAGTATCATGGTCGGGTTGTTGGATGGGTGGACTGCGTCGTTTGCCCTTTGCCCGTGCCTTCCTGCCTGTCCCACTGCCTTCGTGTTGTTCGGGTTGCCTTGAGCTTCGCTGCCTGGCTGCTCATCCGATGGCCCTCCCTTCCGCTTATGTGCCTTGTAGGTTGCTTGCCTTGTTGCTGGTGCCTTGCGCTCCGCTCCGCGGTTGCTGGGCTGCAGGCCCGCTCGCCCTGTCGTCCTTTGCGGTGTGGTTGCCCTTCTTCCGATGTCTTGTGCTTCACTACACGGCTGCCGTGCTGCCTCCCTATCACCTATTCCAACGCCCGTTGCTATCTCTGCCTTGCTCCACACAGCGCCCGTTGCTGCCTCGGGCCCCCAAAGGGCAAGCTCCCGCTCAGACAACTGGCCACGGAACCGAGAGCGCGGCCCACTCTAAGGCCTATGCATGGGCCTTGGTACTCTGGGCCCAGTGCGACCTTCGGCGGTAGTAGCAAATATTCAAATGAGAACCTTGAGGTCCTCGGCGCTCGTCGCGCCGCAGTCAATTCGTGGTTGGCGGACGACGACAAAAATAATAAAATATCTATAAAAATCCTGATCGTCAAAGGACGACAGGCGGGGAAAAGGAAAAACGCTAACACCGCCTCGACGTCGCCATCGGCAAACCCAAAGGGGGTAGCACCGCCGGGCCCTCAATCCCTCGGCCTTCCTTGTACTACTTTAATAACCGCGGGTTGCCACCGCTCGTCCTCGATCCCTGAATCTCCTTAACGAAAGTCTGATACTGTAACCAATAGCGCTAGGCCCAAGGCTGGGTCTAGCTTTGGCTGTCGCCTAAATAAATGGACACTGCACGACGCGCCTAGCTACCAAGACGCCTTCAGAAGTCATGTTGTCGTCGATGTCGTCCTCCGCACGTACGCATAGGTCACAGGCAAGCTCATGTATCAAGAAGACATAATCCTTTTAATACGTGTTTAATCAAAAGAAAAATTTGGATCGGGGATCGCGCCAACTCTTCAACCATCAACAAATATAAAGATCACGCGCGCCTCAAGTCCGCGCGCCCATACACTTTTTAGTCTAGTCAACCATCAGCGGCATAAACAACAGAGACTGCCACGACTCGCATGGTATACTCAGCCTTTTAAACTTATTTTTTGTCACTTGCAAAAACCAGGGCGGATACCCTTGTAAGGGTATTCGCACCGACACTCTGATGTGATTGGCGCAAGCTCATCGCTGCCGACTGAGCTGAGAGTGATCTCTGTGAGCGAATGCGAGTGGCTTCAGTTGTCGGTGTCGAGGGGGATAGAGATTTACACACGACGCTGAAATCGCCCTAATT